AGTCTGAGCCTGTCGCGGGACGAAGAGGGGCTAGACGACGGCCCCGGGTTGCTGGCCTCGTTCTTCTTAGAACCAGCCTCAGTCTTGACGCCCGGAAGGTGTCGCGTTTTGCCGCTGCCGGCAGTAGCGAGCCGAGACTCCGAGGCCTGAGGAGCGCCGGAAACGAAGAGACTATCCGCAGCACTCTGGTGCAAGTTCCAGATCTGAAGAAGCTTGTCTCTGTTAGCGGGACTGCCCTGAAGCCTCTGCCAAAGTCTCCACTGGGCTCCGGGGCACTTGCCCGCACTCCCCGGCCTGCCCTTGCACTGGTTGCGAAACTCTGCCCGCAAGGAGACTCGGCGGCAGGTCCAAAGGTTGCCTTGTCTTCCGTGCTGCTTGCCCGATGCCGAGGGCCAGGATTTCCAATCTGGCGTGAAGAGCCACAAGTCGCGGCCACCCTCTCTGGAATCTTGCGCATCGATTGCGCGACGCGTGTGGCTCTTGGACTTAGCAATAGCGCCGTTCTTGTAGCCCTGCTGCAACTCAGGGTTGGCTTGAAATTGCTTAGCTCTGACCTTCGAAAGAGCCTTGAAAGAAATCTTCCGCCTGCGATGCCGTGACTTGAAGTGACTCTTGATGGATTGCTCTCGGGCGGTCCTACTAAGGCCAAGCGGGAGGCCCTCCTGACAGTAGGGGCACGTGAAGGAACGCATCTCAAGCGGAATGTCGTTCGTCGTGGCCACAATGTCAACTTTGGGCCTGTTGGACGTGAACAAACTTCTGTCGACACCGGGGTGAACGGAATCAATGTGCCTGGTTCTCTTGTGACTCACGAGCTTACCGGCGGGGGCCTCAAGCCTCATGTGACACAGGTTACAGGTCCACATTTTACACTGTTGCTTGGCAAAGAGATTAGACTTCTTCCTGACGCTAAGTTCCACAGCATCAAAGTCCGAAAGCGTACCCTTAGAGCCAACAGAGCAACGGTCGGGCTGCCTGCCTCGGCGCCTAGACCCACCGGTCTGCACGTCTGCAAGACACACAAAACCCTTCTGCTTGCCTTGAAGCCTGCGTCTCTTGGCACCCGCTGCCAAAGCGAAGCTGCCAAGCAGGGTGTCTTGTGGGACCGGGCACCCTTCTAAGGCGTCAGCCGTGGGCTCGCGCTCCGCTGCCCCGATCCCGTCGCAGCTTATAGAGTCGTCCTTCGGGGCCCTGGCTCTTTTCCTAGGGAGGGCACCACCTTCAGACGCTCTTCCGCGCCCTTCTGAAGCTTTAGGCCCAGTCCTTGCAGAGGGGGAAGAAGAGGCGGGTGCCCTGTTGGGCCTCTCAGTGGCGTTCCGAGCTCTGTACGTGTGCACAGAAGGAGTCTCGTTTCCCAGTTTCCGCGTCGCAGGCACGTAACTGTGGACTGAGGGAGTGGCGCTCAACCAAGTGTCTGGCTTGCCCCTGCCACCAGAGCCGCTTTGCGAACCGTCCCTGGCGGACCCTGCTCGTTCGGCCCCACCTTCCGAGGCTCCGCGGCTTAGGGCCAGCTCTGGTTGAAGACAGGCCTTTTGGGGGCCTCTTGCATGCTGTCGGTCTTAGCACTAGACGTGTGAACAGAAGGAGTGTCGTCCCCTAATCTGCGAGTCGCAGGGACGTAGCTGTGGACCGAGGGAGTGGCACTATCACAAGGTCCTGCTTGCCCGCCCCGCTAAGGCGAGAGCGACTCGGCATGGCTGACTGCATAAGCCAGCCACCTGGGATCTCGGCCTGAGGCGGTGGCTTGAGCCAGGTGTAGTGGCAGTCCTGCAGGACCAGCACGACAGGC